TTGGAAGCCACGAGACTTTGATCGGAACAAGAACGGGAGCACGCTCACTGTGAAGTAACTTTCTCCCGATCGCGCGCTCCTTCGACTTTGCTCCCCGACGACTTTCCCTCCCGATCGGGTCGGAAGTCATGGCCTTTGGATCGGAAGCAAGAACGGGAGCTCACTGTGAAGGTAACCTTCCCTATTTGCACGCCTTTTCGGCCAAATCCTGCAACTCTGTTGAATTAGAGGGTAGAGGGAGAGAGGGATTAAGTTATTTTAACTAAAATTATTTCTAATTAATATTAATTGTAATTATGTTAATTAATTATAGTTAGTAGAATTAATTATAATTAATTTTAATTAAATGATTATAATAAATGTTAATTAATTATAATTAATTTAATTATAATTAATCTTAATTAATTATAGTTTTTTATTAATTACAAAAAAACTATTATTAATTAACTGAAAGTAAATTAATTTTAATTAGTTCTAATTAATTAAAGTTAAATATGATTAATTATAAAATTATAGTTAATAATTAATTTTAATTAATGTAAAAAAAATTCTTACTTCTCTAACCTCAATCCACGAGCCTCCACTGTCGATCCCGCACAGGTATAACCCCTTAACCCTAAAACTCTGAGAGCTTGTTTTCGCTATTTGCGGTGGACCGAAAAACCGCCTATACACGTCTTTATTGCGTGTGGTGGGATGGGACCCCAGTACGGCGCCTACGACGAGGCGGACAATCATCTAAAACTACTCTTCAATGTTCGTGGCGCACCGGAAAACCGCCTATACACGCCTTTATTGCGCGTGGTGGGATGAGACCCCGGTGCGGCGCCTACGGTGAGGCAGGGTCACTCATAAGTACCCCCGAGCGGGGGAAAAACAAACTGCATTTTCAAACAGATACTGAAGACCCCATACACGTCTTTATTGCACGTGGTGGGAAAGAAGATCACGACGGCGGTGTCCTCGTTCGAGGACACCTACCATACATGCCTTTATTGCAAGTGGTGGGAATGCCCATTTTATCTTAGTTTTCCCCTTAACGGGGGAGGCACCAAATGGTTGTCGAAATTTTGGGTGAGCGTGAGACTTGGAAAGGACCTGATTTGAACTCAATAGAACAAGGATTTGGACTCAAACGAACACGAACTAGTGGACTTGAGCATGAACTACAAGGACTTGTATTTGAACAAATCAAATGATTAAGCAAGACTTGAAACTAAAAGAAAAATAATAATAAGTTCGAATTTGAGCCAGATTTAGATATCAAGTGAACATGTACTTTGAACTCAAACCGGACTGAATACAAGGATATGTGAACTTGAGCACTTGAACTTGTGCACCTGAACTTGATGCAAAAGAAACAAATACAAAGAACTTCAAACTTGACATGAATAATAAAGAACCTGAACTTTCAAGAACAACAGGGGACTCAAGGGACTTGAGTTTGAATGAGATACAAAGAGCTGAACCCATAACAACATACAAGACTCAAGTATGAATTGAACTTAAGCTCGCGTTCGATCGCAAGAGACTTTAACAACATGAATGATAGAGAACCTGGGTGAAATACATAGGACTGGGCTTTGGATGAATGAACAAATCAAAGTTTAAATGCACGGTTGTCCAAGCGAACAACAAGTTGCAAGTCGGAGATGAAATCCCGGTGCATGCCAAAGATGAATGCAATGCATTTGAAGCACATATGAGTCCCTACGAGGTCAAATGCGCCATGCTTGTAAGAAAGACAGATGGTTGTAGAATGCATGTGTGTGTCTTATATGCGCTACTGAGATTCCCACAACAATGCCTGTTGATTGAAGAAGGCGATATCGGAGTCAATAGAGGACCCATCACCGCAAATAGTTGTGAATGACAAAGGTGAACATAATGCAGGTGTAATAGACTCTTACGACAATCCCTACGATGCCTGCAGATTGATATGACAATATTGACATTTGGTAGTGAAAGACCCGTCCCTACAAACAAATACAATCATCATATCACTTGAGATTAATGAAAGGTGTATATGATACAGGAACAATGGCTCTTCCACGAACATCTTCAGGAGGTTACAACGAGTCCCTGTGAGTATGTCGGGTATGAACACCAGGAATGCACAACAAACCACTGTGGACACAAGTACAAATATCACTTGCAACATTGGTGATTGAGATTTGTGAGTATGTCGGGTATGAAGACAACTCGATGTACGAAAAATGACACCTCCTGGTAGAATGGAAGAGATGTTTGAGCAAATTCAAACAAAACTTTCTGGTGTTTCAAAATTTCTTCTTGGTCCTGTACTCTGGAAGAAAACAGTTCTGACATCCACGAAGACTGAAGATGACAAGAGCACCCGTATACCTCCATTTATCTCAAAGATTGAATGGATCTTAATTCAACCAAGTTCATTATTTGAGTTAGATAAGATTATTGAGGTTTGCAAGCTTCCTGATGAATGATAGTCGTGCATCCAACATACTTTCTATGTACAAATATGGAAGTAAGTCAACAAGTGCAAGCTCTTACGACCCAAAGCAGGAAATTTTTTAGTGCACTATGATCCACATGTAGAAAGCAACAAATAGTGCACGACAAACCTTTATAAAGCAGCAAACAACTCAATTCAGAAGCTGCTATGCCACTCCACCAGATCCGCAACACTCGTATTAGCGGACAGAAGGCGTATATAAGCTCTCAAATGAAATGTTGTGTGCATTCGAATGGCAGTTACCTGCGCAGCTAAAATATTTCAAAGTACCCATGCATATACACTATAGTTTGTATACACATAGGTACACTAAAATGAGGTATGTAATTAAAAAACTCGCATGGGCCCCGGTGAGTGTGTTATGGGTATACACGTGATGTCTAGGGATGTTGCGCGGGTCATTAAGTGAATTCAAGTTCGAACCTGATCCTTCTATGTGGATCAATAGGAGTCAACATGATTCGAACCATCAAACAAATATTTGGTTACGGCGGCCGATATACTTATTTTAATACATTCATATTAGGCTTTCAAGGCTTATAACAATGATAATTCACTAACGAAGACATAAAGCCTATGACACCCGATCTCCTATCGACAAGTTGATAGGGTCGACAGGATTTAATCAAATGAAAATGATCCCAAATACCCCGATGATGGCCGTGTTGAGTGTAAATCTCAACCGGAGGGGTTATAAATAATTTCAAAATGCCACTCCAAATACCCATCAAAATTCAAAACTCCACAAAGTCCAAAATCACAAAATTCCAAAAATTAAAAATCAAACCATTAAACACTTAAGGCAAATACCCATTCACCCTCCGCAATAGTTTGTCGAGGTGGACAAATTAAAATTTACTTAAGCTCATATAAAGCTAAATACCTGGTCGAAAATATCACTAGAATTCATTCTCAAACAATCTCCTGCCAATAAGAATGTGGTACGTGTTCTTTAATCGGCGGTTTTGCCGCCAAATGGCACCGCAGGATAAACTGATATGACCCGGGGCCCGAGTGATTTTGCTGCCAAATGGCACCACGAAATACCGGTTATGGCCAGAGCCAATACTTTCCTTAATGACATCAAATTTTTGAGATATGAACCAATATGATATGATCGATAGGACACAAAGCCCTCTGTTAGCTAAGGTGGATTTAAATTTGTCCCCTTAGACAAATATTCACTCCAGGTCTACAAGGTACCCTTGGACGAAGCAACTCATGGCTGCCGACAAGGATTCTTCTATCAGGTTGGGTCGACTACCTTCTTTGACTAAGTAGACCAGGGATCACGATAGCCCGGGACGACGGAACCATGGGATCTTGATCGGGTCTATCATCCATTCCCCCATCACCTGCTTTAAGTACAATATGGTGTAATTTCCAATTTTTAAATGTCAAATCTTTCAACCTTCCAATTTTCACATTTCTATACACATGCTACTACTATATGCTAGATAACACGTATTCTCTATATATATGATCGACGACTAGCTTTAATCGAAACTTCTCTCTCGTGATCGGGAGGGGTAATTAACTATAGGGGCTTGCGCCTATAGGAAACCAGAACTCAGATCATAAAGTCGCAAAATGAGGGCGAAATCTCTGGGTAGTGTTTTATCTACAAACTCATATGCCTTCCAAAATTTACCCAATAACTTAATCTGTTAAAACTCCCCCGAAAAAGAAAAACAAACATAGCGAGCGGAGGCCGGGGCTGAATTTTCGGAGCCCGCAGAGAAATTGATTGGATGATAATTGAAATCTTGCTGAAGATTTATATACTTCATTCTAACGTATTGAATTGGAAGATATCACTATGCATGTAACTACAAGATTTGGAATGGTGAGACTTAGAAGTGCTCTTGTAATATCCAAAAAAAACCCTCATTTTAGTAAGTGTACATGCAAATATGGTACTAGCAAATGTTTAATACTCATAAATAACAGTTATTGCATTAGATTAGGAAGGGAAAATATCTGTTAGACCGGTCCACTGAACCGGTCCAGCTGGTCCGCATGGGACCGGCATTTCGCAATTGACGCGGGATCTCCGCCTCCTGCGGAGATCGAGCGGCCCGTTTAGATACTTTGCAATTTGAAATCCTCTAAGGTCTTATAGCTGGTAGATATATGATAGAAAAAAGTTATGGCTCAAAAGTAGGAAAAAGGTTGTTGAAACAGCTTTCTTTATCTGTAAAAAAATTAATTTTTGTGCAGCCAGAATGAACATGGCGGATGTTTTCATTAGTTCTTATCAACTTAACCTTTATACTGTTTTACGAATTAGCAAAAAGTATTTCAGTTATGAAATGCAGTTTTTACTTCAAAACTATAGATGTCAATCACAACCTTTTCACTTTTCTTTGCATATAATTTGCACAAGCTAGTCATTCATGTAAGATCATCATGAACTTTACATAATTAGTTTTCTTTTGTGCAAATTTATCTCATATTTACAATCTTCTTGTTTATTTAGTTTCTGGATCTTGAAAAATGGTACTTGTAGGTAAAAGATGCTCTTATACAGTTTGAAAATGCACTCACATTGAATCCAAACCCAATGGAAGCTCAAGCCTCACTTTATAATAAAGCCTGTTGCCACGCATATAGGTATTGACACCATGATGTTTATTCTTTTTTAAACGATGTTGGTATTTCAAATACATACAATTTTCTTAGAATTTAAATTATATGATTTGTATGAATCAATTTGAAACGTGGATGACTATTTAAATAGTTTCTAATTAACGGTAGCAGGCTCTCTTTGTATGATAAATTTCCCCGTGCTAATTGCTTATGCTGTTCCCTTGTTGGCTGATGCCTAAGTTTTCAGTTCGGATAGTGTTTTATCAAATGCCAATTTGCTTGAAAATTGGGATGAAGGGTTCTTGTGATCCTACCTCAGAACCTGTTAGATGAAGAGATCTTCTTGCTTGTAGTTTGATCTTCTTCTCCTCCTTGTTAGTAATTAAGTCTGCTCCATGGATCCTTCTTGGCATGCTTGGCTAAGATCTTCCTTCTAATTTTTCAGCCTATGGCAATAGATGGCCGGCTAATGAGGGAGGATAAAGAAGAAAATTAGCAGATAGATGGAGAGAGAAAACCTATTTTAAAGATGAAAAATGAGGTAGAGAGAGCTTGAGGGAAAATTAGTCATAATTTGAATTTAAATAAAAGAGTTGTAATTACATTAGAATTGCTACTCAAATTTTTTTTTTTTTAAATTTTTGGCATTAAAAAATTACAATATAAAAAATCCGAGCTCCAATGTTACATGGAAGGTACCTCACGGTCCTCACCTTGACTTTTGACAGACATGTCTGGCCTATCTAGTGCCACATGAATAGGCCTGATATTGAGTTAAGTTTGAGCATGCGAGTTTGACTAGAATATATATATATTTTTTGAATTAAACTCTTCTCGAATTTGACTAAAAATAATAATAAAAAAAGATTTGACTCAAGATGATTTGAAACAATTCAATTTAGAGTATATTTGAAATCAATTTTGAGTTCTTTGATTTTTTATTTAATTAAAATATATCTCAACTCCATACATACAAACAAGGAATATTTGTGTGTTTGAGGGGCTTGTGTGCATTCTTGGTGTTGGTAATTTTTGGTAATTTATTGATTGCCTTGATTTCTTTTTTTTAAGTATTATTATGGACAGAAAGTGCTATACAACTCCATGGGGAGTATGATTTTCTAATTAATTCTTTCCTCCAATAATTCATTGATTTCTTGTACATAATTCTACATTTTCCTTGTTCATTTGACAAGGTCTTTCTTTAATAGGATTATTTCATTCATTAAGCTTAATTTTTTATAGAAGTGAGACAAAGTGAGTCTTTATATCCCAAAATTCATTGCAGTTACAAAATTATTTTATGGACGTTGTGTAAATTATTATTATTTTTTGTCGGAGGATTTTTAGATTGGAAAGATTCATGTACCAGTCTAATTCGAATTTCTTGTTAGAAATTTAATTGTTTGTTTTAGTTTCTTCATTCTACAACCAGCATTTTAGAAAACACTGTTGTTGTCAGGTCTCAAGTCTTGGATGAGAAAAGTGGAGGGTTACGTCATGTAGTCGACAGTCAGCGTAAAACTTGTCGAATAATCATGACATGAATCCTTTAAAGAATTTTATTAATGCTAAGGCGTCCCCTCGAAGCGACGAGCTGTATGACCATAATATAGGGACAAGTGTGCAAGGGACGCTTCACCAACACCTGGGTGCAATGTTAAATAGGCAAGGGTTCCCACATCAAGGATGGATGTGGGCAAAAAAGCTAGTCCATAAAATTAAAATTATGATAGGAACTTAGAGTATATGTTCCCTTACAGGAAAATTAATATAATTAATATATATTATGATTCATAAGAAGATAAATATTTGTGCATTTAAGAAAATGAATCGGTTGGAGAGAAGGCTAAGAAGATTGATAGTTTAGGATTTAAACTATGGTATTCGGGTAGGAGCCGTACTAGAAATGGTGTAGGTGTGAGTATAGCTTTAAAGATTGTTGTTGATGATAAGATTGTTAATATTATAAGTGCTTATGCTCCTTAAGTAGGTTTGTATATGCGTTCAAAATTAAAATTTTGAGATGACTTTGAAGAATTAATACAAAAGATACCTCTTGAAGAAATTTTTTTATTATATGAGATTTAAATGAACATGTTGGTAGAGAGGTAAATGATTTTAAAAGCATTCATGGTGGCCATGGATTTGGAATGACAAATGAAGGTGGTAAAATCATATTAGATTTTTCTTTATCTTATGATTTTTTTATTACTAATACTTTTTTTAAGAAAAAAAGATGAGCATCTCATCACTTATAAAAGTAGATATAGTAAAACTCATATTGATTATTTTCTTATAAGAAAATTAGATTGTTTAGATTGCAAATATTATAAAGTTATTTTGAGTGAAAATTTATATACCAAACATCGATTGTTAGTTTTGGACTTTAAGATAAATAGGCAGAAAATAAAGAATAAAGTAAAATGATATTCTAGGATTAGATGTGGGTATTTAAAAAATAATAACAAAAATATTTTTAAGAGTAAGATTTTAGACCTTGAGATTTTGTCTATATATAAGGATGCTAATATTATGTGGGATAAAGTGACTAGTGATATTAAGAATATTGCAAAAGATATGTTTAGAGTATCAAAGGGAAAGCTCTTAATAGTAAAAATAGTTGGTGGTGGAGTCTAAATTTACAATAAAAGATAAAAAAAAAAAATGTTATAAAAATTGGTTTCTGTATAATTTTTTTGATAATTGAGAAAGATATAAAGATACGCGTAAAGAATCTAAGAAAGTAATATGTGATGCAAATATCTTAGCTTTTAATGATTTATATAGCAGATTAGATACTAAAGAGGGAGAAAGATATATGTATAAGTTAGCCAAACAAAGAGATATGAGTAGTAAGGATTTAATTCAAGTGAAATATATTAAGGATGAAAATCAAAAAGTACTTTTCTTAGAAGATGATATTCAACAAAAGTGGATGAGATATTTTGCTAAATGTTTTAATGAAGAATGTGAAAACCATTGGACTCTATAGAGAGAGGAAGGGAGAAGAGCAGTTCATCTAATGATGATTCAAATGAAGAACCCCTTAGTGATGACAGTGCTATGACTTTGATTTCTTATGTGATATGTCATTGCTATTTATTTTTGAATTTTAATTATAGTTAATGAAAAGAATACTGGATTTGGGAAAGATAGAATTTGAGTTTGAACTATATTTCATGTTGTCTTTTATTGGGATATTTTATTTCACTTCATATCTTATGCTTTTTATGTTTTATTATTATTCACTCATTAGTATATAAAAAATTTATCATTTTATGTTTACGAATCTTTTGATTTTGAGGCTTACGCCTCTACGCCATGAATGAAAAACGCCTCAATACCCGAATACGCAATTTTTAAACTTGATAATACATAATATTATATATAATATATTAATATATATATATATATTATAATATATATATATATTGTAGAAATTATAATAAAATGAGTATCTTCAAGCAATGAGAAAATAGTAAATAATAAATAGTCTAGATCAAATTATAAAAAAATGTAAGTCATGATAAATTAGATATGGTAATATTCCCCAGAATCAATGGTGGCATATAGATGTAAGAAAGATACACTTAGAAAATATAATAAAATTAAGTATCTTCAACAATGAGAAAATAGTAAAATAATAAATAGACCTAGGGCGAATGTTTATTCAAGGAATAAATTCATATAAATGTTAGCTAACTTAAGAGCTTTATGCCCTCTCAAGTTGAAACCTATAATTTAGTACTCAGGTTTTCTTAACTTTTAGGGACTCACGGTGATGAGGACATCGTCAGCGATTTTTGACACATGGTTTTATCATCGGAGACGCCGGAGATCAAACGACCTCGATCCCGGAGTTTTTATTTCGAGTCTTTTTATGTTAATAGTTTATTTATTTCTTTAGTTTTTTCGTTTCTGCGCCCTTTTGGGTACCTGGTCTCTATTGTAAGCCCAAGGGGCATTTTAAGTCTTTCGTTTCCTTTGTCATTTGAGGCCTATATATAGGCATTTCTTATGTATGAGATGATGATTGCTAATGAAAATTTTGAAATTTTGGATCTCGTTTTGTTAGTTCTGGAATTCTCTTTTGAGTTCTCGCGTGAGGATTGGCCTAGGAGAGGCTCAACGCAATACCCAACCAGCCCTTGGTGGAGCTCTTGTTTTTTTCTTTCTCTTTTCTATTTTTCTTCTTCCCTTCGCCCTTAGCCGCCGGCTTTTCCTCCAACTCACCCGCACCACTTGATCAGCAACCCCAAAACCCCTCTCCTTGCGTTAACTCTATTTCCCCTTCATCCCGTTCCCCCCTGCAGCCGTCCCCACCAAAAGCCCCCAGAAAACCCGCCGACTCACCCACCCGCGCCCTCCTTGCCGCCGGCCATGCCCGCTGCCGGCCCAGCCAGCCCCAGCGTCTCCCCCTAGAATCGGCTCCTCTTCCCTGGTAGCCATCCCGCCGGCCCCTCTCTCATGAGATTTGAATTTCAATGCTTTGATTCTTCATTACTTCTTTCCTAAAAATGATCCCTACATTTTAGGAATAGAATTAAATGAGATCCCATATATTTTTTGAATTCAAATTCCAATTCTCTAATTAATTAAAATCTGAAATTTAAAATCAGGTTTTAATTAACTCCATGGGCCCCACTAATTAATCAACTTCCCTCTCCTTCCCGATGGCTTTGGCCGGCCCATCCAGCCTATTCTCTCTCCACTTTGCCATCTAAGCAACACTTAATTCCCCCCATAAATCCCTCTAGTAACCGCCGCGCCCATTACTCCTTAATGAGTTAATTTGAATTGTCAACATTAACAATTACCTTAATGACAATCTGAAAATTAAAATACACATTTTAATTTTGGAATCAAAACCCCACCGGCTAATTCAATCCACCGCCTTCTCTCAAAGGTCTTCCCACGTTTTCCTTAATTTCCTGGAAGCTTCAAGTGGCTGGCCACATATTCCAGCATTATTGAATTACCATCCTGCATCCTTGAAGACCCGAGATTGCTGTCCAGAAATT